TTTTTTTTTTTTTTTCAGTTTTTGGCTGGGGCTGGGTTTGAACCCACCACCTCAGGCATATGGGGTAGGCACCTTACTCCTTTGAGTCACAGGCATGGCCCCCTGGATTTTTTTTCTTTTTTTGTAGTTTTTGGTCAGGGCTGGGTTTGAGGCTGCCACCTCTAGCATATGGGGCTAGTGCCCCACTCCTTTGAGCCACAGGTGCTGCTCTGGATTTTTTTTTTAAAACACAGGTGAATGTACCCAAAGGAAACATAATTCTGGAGAATACTCAACAGATATATTTTAAAAGGCAGCAATGGCCCAAAGAAGCAGAGGAAGATAGAGAAGAAAGGAGGGACCAACCTGAAATGTGATTGAGTAATATCATGAAACCAGGCCTGTGCTAATTTCAGATATTCCATATGCTTTAGGGTGGGGAAGAGAGTCTTGCCCCATAGCATCTCTCATGATACACCTATATTATGCCATACAACTTGGCAGCTGAATTAAAATTAAACATAAAAATACATATAAAAATAGGCTGACAAATTCTAGATTACCTAATGTGAGAAAATCAAAAGCACTAAGTGTATACAGTTTAGTTAAGCCACATTTAATATTAACCTGTCTCCAAATTCTAGGGTTATCCAACACCTAGTTTCTTCTCTCAAAATAGAGTTTACTACAAAAACTAAGAAAAGTATAATGAATGGGCCTGGTGTGGTGGCTCATGCCTGTAATTCTAGTACTCTGGGAGGCTGAGGCAGGTGGATTGGGCTGATTGCTTGTTGAACTCAGGAGTTTGAGAACAGCCTTAGCAAGACCAAGATTCTGTCTCTAACAAAAATAGAACAAAACAGCTGGGCGTCATGGTGGTTGCCTGTAGCCCCAGCTACTTGGGAGGCTGAGGCAAGAAGATCACTTGAACCCAGGAGTTTGAGGTTGCTGTGAGCTAATCTGATGTCATGGGACTCTAGCCTGGGCAACAGAATGAGACTCTGTCTCAAAAAAAAAGAAGAAAAAAGAAAAGAAGAAAGAAAAGTATAATGGATGGAGTAAATTAAAAGACATTTTCTGCTAAAATGGAGATCATACAATAAAAATACTGCAAATGCCATTTCTTTTTAAATAATAGTATGCCTACTGTCAGTACAGTCATACTGGAGATGTCACTCATAATGTTTTGGGCACATCCAACCTCCCTATCTAGGTTAAATAATGTTACCAGTAGAAGCTGGTTCAGGAAAGCAGGGCTAGGCTGGCTGGTCTGTATCTGGAGGAGGCCCCTTGATGGTTGGCCACCTAATCAAAGGACAAGCCATGTAGAGGCTGGCCAACAGCTTATGATGTAGTATGGTGTAAAAAGCTGTGCTGGATTCTTCTCTTGGAAATTAAGCATAGAAGAATGGGAAAAATTTGGCCAGGTGCGATGGCTCACGTCTGTAATCCTAGGACTCTGGGAGACTAAGGCGGGTGGATCACCCTAGCTCAGGAGTTCAAGACCAGCCTGAGCAAGAGTAAGACTTGCCTCTACTAAAAACAGAAAAACTAGCCAGGCATTGTGGTGGGTACCTGTAGTCACAGCTACTTGGGGAGGCTGAGGCAGGAGGATTGCTTGAGCCCAGAAGTTTGAGCCATTGCTGTGAACTATGACTCTACTCAGAGTGACAGAGTGAGTTTGTCTCAAAAAAAAAAAAAAAAAAGGGAGAAATTTGTCAAAGGGAAAGAGAAGAGACAGAGTAACTGAGTGAGTTAAGAGTCTGATACTTTACTCAATATCAGGCCCTGTTCTTTCTGCAGTCTGGTTTAACTATTGTTTCTATCCTTTCCAAGGAAAAAAATTAGCTTTCTCTAGATTCCTGTGCATGCATCCTTATAACAAACTTGTTATTACTAATTGAGACAGTTTTCCCTTACAATCAAAAACCTCTGTAATATAGATTTTAACTTTTTTTTGGCCAGGGCTGGGTTTGAACCCACCACCTCTGGCATATGGGGCCGGCGTACCCTACTCCTTTGAGCCACAGGCACTGCCCAGATTTTAACTTTTTAAAGAATTTTTACAAGCATAAATCTGTAAAGTTAAGTGAGATGAAACTACCATTTTACAAATGAGAAAACCAAGATCAAATAATTCTGGGTCACATAGATTTTTTTTTTTGAGATAGAGTCTCAAGCTGTCACTCTGAGTAGAGTGCTGTGATATCATAGCTCACAGAAACCTCAAACTCTTGGGCTTAAGCAATTCTCTTGCCTCAGCCTTCCAAGTAGCTGCGTCTACAGGCACCCGCTACAATGCCCAGCAATTTTTTTTTTTTTTT